ATGTACAGGTACAAGCACCCAATGATAAATGTAAACGTATTGTATACCTAAAATGTACCAATAAAAGAATTTAAGGAAAAAAAAGAAATCAAATAATAACAAACATCAGTGAGGCTACATGGAAAAAATAACCTTTCTATATTGTTGGTGGGAATGTAAAGTAGTACTGCCATTATGGAAATCAGTATGGAGATACCTCAAAAAACTAAAACTAGAAATTCCATTTGATCCAGTTATTCCCCTTCTAGGTATTTTCTCGAAAGAGTTAAAGACATATTACAGTGATATTTGCATACTAATGTTTATAGTAGCACAGTTTATAATGGCAGAATCTTGGAAGCAGCCTATATGTCCATCAAAAGATGAATTGATAGGGCCAGGGATTCAGCTCAGTGGCACCGTGCCTGCCTCACAAGTGCAAGGTCCTGAGTTTGATCGCCCTGGTACCGGAAAAAAAAAAAAAGATGAATGGATAAAGAAATGCGGTATTTACACATAATAGAATACAACTCTGGCATAAAGAAAGGTAAACTTGAGCTGTTTGTAGGAAAATGGATGTACCTTGAAATCGTTATGCTCAATGGGGTAAGTCCGACACACAAGCTTAAATATCACATGGTTTCTTTTATATGAGACACCCAAAGTACAGATAAAGTACAGAGCGAAAACTGGATAATAGGATGTAAGGAGATAGACCTTTTCAAATGGAAAGAGGATCAGGAAATGGAGGGAAGGGGCAGACCAGGGATGAAAAGGGAGTGAATATGTATAATGTACGTGTACTAATTCCTCACAAGAAATGTAAACATTAGGTATTGCATTGTACTAATAAAAAATAAAAATCAATACCTCTTGTGAATTCCACTAAAAAAAAGAAAAAAAATCAGGACAAGGAGTTGAAGAGTGGGGCTGAGGATGTTGTTTCAGATTTGTAGTCAGAGAATGCTCACTGAGGAGACCCTGTGACTGGGAGTTACCCTGCGCACTGATGAGAAATACTACCCCACATGATATGGTTCCCAAAAGGTGCGAGGGAAGGCAAGGACTGCATCACCCAAGCTTTGCATCTACTTCCCTCCTTTGACTCTAAAATTATGGCATCACTAATTTGGACTGGGAGAAGCATTAACTATCTGAGGATGACTCATGGCATAAAAGAATAGGGAATGGACAGAAAGGACTCGCTGCGTTCAGAAGCTTAGTGAAGCGCCTTAGGCCGGCCTTAGACATAGACAGTTGTCTGTGTGTGTTATGTGGATGCACTAACGCCCCTGAGCCAATGAGCAATCACTAGATGAAGACCCTTAAAACTTCTTGTAGAAAATGGGTCAAGAACATGGAAGTTCATGGAATTCATAGAGTTGGCTAGTGAACGTATAGAAAAAGCTTACTTCTACTAATGACCCAGGAAAGGCAAAATAGAACAAGACAGTACTTAAAAAAAATTTTTTTTGCATCAGAAACTGTCACAAACTGCCAGTGGGAGGATGAACTGATGTCTCCTTTTTGGAAGACAATTTGTCAGCACTGAACAAAATTCAAAATGAAGGCACATTTATACCCACAAAGTCCACTTTTAGGAATCTTTCTTTCTCTAGAAATAATCACAAATAAGAATATAGGAATATATGTATATATTTACTTATTAAAATGGTAAAAAAGTGTAGATAATCTAAATATGTAACAGATATTTCATAGATATTTATTGAATGCATGCATGAATACATG